ACTTACAGTTAAAAGCCTCAATCCCAAATGGATTAGGCCATACTCACCGCGGAGCTCCACGTAGCAGAAATGCGCACACGCACACACACACACACACACACCATGTCATTGATAGGGTTAGGGGTTTTAGGGGGGTTGAGATTTTGCGGGGTAAGCTTAGGGCTGAGGGTGCCTGTGCACCCTCAACAAACGGTTAAGTTATCCAGCCCTGATCGAATATGGAAGCCCCGCAGGCCCCATGAAGACTACTAGCCTTTTGACGGGGAGGAATATGAGCCATCGTCTCAAGCCCTATTATCCCCCTAAGTCAGCCAGCCCTGTAGTCCCCTAAATTATCCCCAGGAAACCCGTCTTTAAGGAGTTTAGACTACAGCTGATATTTGGGTTCCATATTCAATTAGGGGAGGATAACGTAACGCCCTGAAACCTGGAGCCGCGAAACCTTAAACCCTAAATCCTACACCCCAAGCCTTGAATGAAGACCCTACGCCTAAAAACCTCAATCCTAAATCCTAGACCCCAAAATCCTAGACCCTAAATCCAAAAACCCTGAATCCTAACCCCAAAAGCAGCAACCCTAAATCCTAAACCGCAAGTCAGAAACCCTAAATCTTAGACTCCAAATCAGTAAGCTCCCAGTATCCCCCGTTTTAAGGCCTATGGCTCAAGTCTAAACCCTAAACCCTAAACCCGAAACGCTAAACCCAAAACCCAAAACCTTAAACCCTAAACCCTAAACCCCTAAACCCCTAAACCCTAAACCCCCTGAACCCCTAAACCCTAAACCCTAAACCCGAGTCAAAAATCCTGAAGTCCCGTCAACTCGGCGGCCTCCAGCTGCAATATGAGATCCTCAGTGCACTAGATGGACAAAGAAATCCTGCATGAACCTAAAGGGCTAGGGTTTAGGGCTTAGGATTGAGGGTTTAGGGTTTCAGGCTTTTGGCTAGGGTTTACGCAGGGGTTTAGGGAAAGACTGTGAACTACCCCTACTTCTCAGGATTAAATCATATACTTGGAGGTGCAAGGTATTTCTAACTGAGTTGCAATTGTAGGTGGAACCCAATTATGACCTTTTTGGGGGACTTGGTGGAGTTGGCTTAGAAGTGCACTTGTATGGTAGTTTCCCAAATTGAGGGGACCCCAATATAGACCCCAAAATACTATAGCCCTTATTATAAGGACCCCCAAAAAGGTACCCCTAAATTGGGGGCCATTGTCACCCGAGATGCTGAATACTACCTACAAAAACCTGCATATATACTGCACCTACTGTACAAGAAATGACAGGGTAAGAAATGTAGGGGCTACGTCGACTAGATAATCCTAAAACAAAATGCTTTCAAGCTAAGATATGGAGGGTACCCAACGGTTGAGGACCATTTCTCATATTTGATGGAGGCTGAGTTTCGCTTTAATGTTTTGGGGAGTGCCTTTCACGCCTTGCAATTAGTTCTAAAAGGATAACAAAGCTGAGCGGCACATGGTACCCTGTGAAGTGTCATTAAGTCTGCTCGAGGTTCTTTAGTGAAGACACGTAACATGGTCACCTTCCCTTTCGATCCCACCCTCTGGACAAGACTACCCTTCCACATAGTAATACATGCTCCTATATATACCTGATCTGATAAGCAACGGAGACCATGGCTTCTCCATGCTGATCTAGCTATCATACGATGATGCTGCTAGTTGCTGAAATCCCCTGCACCGTGACAAGAATATAGGAGCTGAAGATTCAGTTTAGGTCAAGAATCTAGATGTGTCACGACCATTGTGATCATGACTGTTTTGGTAATCATTACTGCGACTGACAGTACCATGACAATCACTGCTCTGGACACTGTCAGCTGAGAGCTGCCAACGGTTGATGGACAAAATCTTGCACTACTTAGTGTAATTATTGGCTCATAGGTTATAGTAGGTGGTGCAAGAGTTCCTCCATCCACAGTAAGATATAGTCCCCCTTAAGTGGATAGAATATGGGGTACATGGGGATCTTATTATAATCTACCCAGAGCTATATTCTATCTACTTAACGGGGACTATAAGCCTTGCACCGGACAAAGGCCAATCACAGAATCGCATCAAAGCTGCCGTCTTCAGCTTGTCCTGCCCGTAAGCTTGGGGTTCCCGGTTCCTAAACCCTAAATCCTAAACCCTAAACCCTAAGTCCTGAACCCTAAACCCTAAGTCCTGAACTCGAAACCCTAAATCCTAAACCCTAAAGATTACGGGTTGGCGTTTTGGGGCTTTCGAGTTTAGGGTTTTGGGTTACAAGGTTAAGGCCAGGGGCATCCGTGGGCTCGGGATTCAAGATTTAGGGTTTAGGGTTTAGGGTTTAGGGTTTAGGGGTTAGGGTTAACGGTTTGTTCCAGGATTCTTGCGGAACATCTCTCTTTAGCTAGGAAACGTAAGATACGGTATGCATCAAACACCTTAAAACATATGCCCATAGCCCTTCAAGTCCATGATCATACTGCACCAGCCACGATAGTAACAGAAATGGAAAGAATAATCATACCAATAATGAAGCCCCACAGCTTCAAACTGGCACTCTTCTGTCGCAGTTCTGGGCACATAAGGAGGACGCTCACCAGATGCTGAAGGAGTTACTCTGATACTCGAAAGGACAAGCGTTCTCTCTCTTCAGTATGTAGAATGAAGACTCAGTGGAGATTCAAGGCAATTAAAACCTACATAACAAATGAAAAATGAGCGCGTTTCTAAGCCAATTGTAAGCCCGCTTTAAGCCCCCTAATCTGGTCCTAATTGAGCAATCACTACAATTTTACTGGGCTTTAGGGTTTAGAGTTTAGGGTTTAAGGTTTAGGTTTAAGTGCGCTAAACCTCAAAGTAGGCGAGGCTGTCAGAGAATAGAGGGTTGAAGAGTTCAAGGTTTAAAGGTTCCATGCAGTAGATACATGGGGATCTCCTAAAAATGGCACATCCCCTTATGATAAAGATTGTAGAATATTGAGGTTTATCAGGCGGGACCTTCATGTTGCGAAATGCCCTGAACCCAAAACGCTAAACACCAAAAACCCCTAAACCGCTAAACCCTCAACCCTGAAACCCTAAACCCCTAAACCCTAAACCCGAAACAGCAAGCCAACAACAAGAGACCGGTGCGTACCCTTTCCGCTCTTCGAGCACGTTGTTCTTCCATCTCTCGCAAGTCTTCTGGCGACCAGTAGCCTGACTAGGGTTTAGGGTTGAGGGTTTAGGGTTTAGATCTAGGATTACCGGTATGAGGGCGTGAGGCTTCAGGATTCAGAGTTGAGCTAACTTTGATGTCGGGCATGTGCCGGTTCGTGTAAGAAAGCCTGACTTTGCGGATGGGCGGTGTAGAGTCTACGGCTACAACAGTTTGGCAATCCAACAACTTCAGTCTTCGGTGGTGCTATTGGATAATCGATAACCACACAACCACCACAACAACAACAACAACAACAACAACAACAACAAAACACTAGGGTACATTCCTGGTAGACCCCAGATGGGACTGACCCCCTATTGGAAGGAAACAAAGAGGTTGCTTAGAAGGTCGGTCCTATCTAGGGGTCTTGGGATCTACACTATACCCTAAAGCCTGAAGAAGCACTGCGTTGCGCCAGGTTGCTTTCGTTATCGTGCCGCAATGGATCGCTTTCCCTTCCAGGGCAATAGATCAGACTTGGTGGTGGACTTGCGGAAGGTGCTCCATTAGCTGAGAAGGCTGGCGTCTTGTTCGCCAGAATACCTCTCATGGTGGCTACACCCTAAACCCTAAACTCTAAATCCTATGCGTCAAATAGTGGCCCTTTTGGAGGAATTTGTTTTTCTTTGACACTCTGGGCGTTGCTCAGCAAAGCCATCTCTCAAGATTTGAGGGTTTAGGGTTATAGTCCCCCTGATATACATAGAACATGGGATGTATAAAAACCTTATTATCATATGCCCAAAGCCACATCTATCTACTTAAGGGGGACTATTCGGGTGTAGGGTTTAGGGCTTGTGGTTTAGAGTTTAGGGTTCGAGTTTAGGGCTCAGGGTTTAGCGTTGCAAACCATGCAGAAGCAGTTTGCTCACACACCTAGTTCTTCACAAGCCCGGATTGCAGCCTTTGTTGTACCATATTCTGGCTAAAGTATACGAAGCTTGATTAGAGCCAAATGGGTCATGTCCCTGAAAGCCAGGTTCATTGTTGGCTTCAGCGAAGTTTCTACTTCTGCTGCTGCTACTACTATTGACACCGTTGCCTTTATCAAAAGTTCATGCGACATATGAACCGGCCAAACCCTAAACCCTAAGACCTGAGCCCTTAATGGTTCCTTTGTAACCCCCTAAAAAAAGCCTACACCCTGTGCATGTCATCCTGCAAGCCACTGAGGAAGATACCCTCAGCCATACACAGAACCCCAAGATCATCCAGGGGCAGTTAAGGCATATTCCTTCAGCAAGGCGGTCTATCCCCCCAAATCCAGCGTTCATATCATGTTCCATGTTCTGTCAGTCTTGTTGGAGTCATTTGGGCTACAATCCTTTTCCCTTTTGTTCGATGCACGCTTTCTATTAGGGAATGTCTTTTGAACTATACAACTATACTAAACTACCAAAGGGACCCCATCCTCTTTGGTCCTCAAACCCTAAACCTTGTACCCTCAACCCTAAAGCCCTAGTTGCTGAGTTCCCTGGCCCCAAAAAAGGTTAACCTTTGTATTATAATCGGACTATATATACCCAAAAGGTTAAAGGTTACCTACCCAGCTAAGCCAAAACTCAACCCTAAACTTCCCTAAACTCTAAACCCTAAATCGCAGCATCATTGCGAACAGGTCGAGGGACCCATCACCAGCATGCGCTTGGGCAAGCTATCGAGGTAGATCCCTCAGGAAAAAGCATCACATATTCAAGGGTTTAGGGTTTAGAATTTTGGTGTTTAGGGTTCAAGGCTTAATTTGTGGGGCAAAAATTTTATTGTCGCACTAAAATGAAAATTCCATCACGCGACACCGAGTCGCCGTAATGGGCAGCTAGCGGATCATGATCCGGACGTTGGCTGTCGTTGTAATTCTGAAACATCACCTTGGTTGTCAACGTGTCTACATGAAGGGCTCCTTGTAGTTCTGGTGACAGCGATCTCAATAGCGTCTCCCATGAGCAATGAAAGCTTGTCAAAATCATCCCTACATCATTACTCCCCCATCGAGACCCCATCATCCTATATACCCCTTTAAAGGGACCTAGGGTTTCCATTTCATTTTCCATTTTCTTTTACATTTGATTCTCCATTATTGGGGCATTATAACCCCTATATAACCCCTAAATCCACAATTTCCGAAAGCTCCATCACAAGCCACTAATCCATGGTCATGATTATCCTAGGGCTCCAAGCAACCGTAAACCCAAAATCCTAGGCCTTAAATCGCGTGGTAGTCGCAATTCTACCACGCTCTGCGGCGATCGTTCCACAGTCTTGCGCATGGGGAAATCGAATGCCCCCAACAGCATTGAAGTACAGAATGACCGAAATGGTGGGTACCACCCGCCTGGAATTTTGAGGTGGTGAGCTCTGAGATTCCAGGTCCAGAAAATCCAGGTTATAGTCGGCCAAGTCCTCGAGATTGATGTGATCAACGTGCGGCGATTGGCCCTCGCCACATATGTCCAACACCACGTACTTGTCACGAGGTTGCTCATGGCTCAAGCCCCAGAAGCCCGCAATGGTCTCAAAGACTTCACGTGATTGCTCATCCATTGGGAACTCACAACCTTTTCTTACTGGTGGCTAATAAGGGCTGATGGAATGGAAATAGGGATTACTACAAGGATGATACAGGTACTACTACAGGGATCCATTCCTCCATTCCCTACAAACCAGCAGTAAGCTCTTCATCCCACACGTGCAAGATATGAAACCCTGCTGACAAACCATGCTCCGGAAGCTGGTGCAACCAAGCGGCTCCTGGATGTTATGGTCTTCCCATTGCGGGTTTCTGTCAGTTGCGAGCCCTTGTCGCTACTGGCAAACTTGTCATCAACCGTCTTCAAGAAAGACTCGGAAACTGCGCCATCGACAATCCACCTGAGCTACTTGTCTGCAAGATATTCAAGGCATAATGGAGAAGGAAATGGAAACTATCATTTAGGTTTGGGAAATGGAAAAGAAAACGGAAACTAATACGGCAGTTCCTAGGCGATTCTAGATATCAAGCAGTACAAGTCGCCTGCATAAATCTCTATTCATGGAGATCCAGCTATCAGAGGTGCGAACGTGACTTTAGGGTTTAGGGTTTAGGGTTCATGAAATTCAGCCCTGAACCCTATACCCTAAACCCATCCAATGTAGCCCCCGTTCAATCCCCGCAAAAGACCTCCCAATTCCTTTGTATGGGGGTTTAAGGTGTCGGGGTTTAAGGGTTCTTCAATAATTGGGCTTTTTCGGGACTCCCTGTAATGAGGATTGGAATAGATGCGGGTCTATGCTAGGGTCCCCCCTGTTTATGGGGGCGACCATATGGGCGAAAGCCTAAACTCCCAGTATCCCCCTTAACAGCCCCTAGAATACTCCCCTATACAATCCCCCTTTAAGGAGTTTCTATAGCTCATACGAGCCCTGGACTAAATTTGTAGTATATCAATTCATAGGTCCCTCCCAAAGCCCGATATAGTCCCCTACAGGTCCGCCCGAACCTCAGTTCAGGCTATAGCTCATCGATCTGCAAAAGCCAAAAATCAGATGCAAATGTTGACAGGGAGCACGCTTGGCTCACTGACAACGTGTTGAACACGTACGCAAGGGTCCATTGCCAGCTTGGCGTTTAGCCCTTGAAGAAAACACTGCGTCATATGACATGTGAACGATCACGATACTAAAAAGAAAATCGGGGCCTCTTTGGGAGTTCCTATAAATGGATCATAATCATAACCCTTGATGACAGAAAAAGGGGACCCGCTTCTGGAAACGCTCATCTCACCATGACGTGCAGAGGCAATAGCCCTGTGTCCACCTGGATTGCTGAACAGCGGTATCTCACTATTAAGTTCTCATTGTAAAGCCTGAACAGGGCGTGGCTGCTCCCCACGACTAAGGAAATAAGCACATGCAGTAGTTAGGCTGCAGATTTTCCACAACGTCCTGCCCTTGAAACTCTACCTACCAGACATACCTTGAACTTCAACCTAGGCCTACAGGGTAAATTTTACACACTAATTCTGAGATCTAAATTCCAAACCCTAAGCCGGGTCCTACATCCATGGGCGAAATCTCACAATGCCCCCTATACCCTAACCCCCCCAAAAAACAAGATCAAGACAAAGAAACAAAACAAAATTAGTATATGGTACTTTCCCTAAATCCGTATCAACACGGACATCGCCATTGAAACTGGAAGAGGCAGCAGCACTCTAAGCTGCAAGCCTCTCTTTGAGGGGCCCAACAAGGAGATGTCCCTCTGAAGGGGTTCAGGGTTTAGGGTTTAGGGTTTTGTCAGTTGGAGCGTAGCGCTTCCAAAAAAAAGGGGTCCTGTTTTTTCGCGTCAATCCTTAAAGAATGTCGTTACCGAAAATAGGGGAACACTACTTTGGAAAAAGCACCCTATCGGTGAGGATGGCAGGGAACTAACAAAGTCAGAACCAAATCTAAATCTAGAATCTTTCGTCTCTATATCCCATGGCTAGGAGTGACAAGAAAATTCAGAAATTGCTTGTGCCATCCTGGCGTTTATCCCTTCCCCGTTGTATTCGTCACCCCCTCTCGACGCAGCACCATCCCCAATGTTAAACTTGCCCTGTAAGAGTCCATCATGTGCCTAAGGCTGAGCCCTAAACCCTATACTAAATCACACAGGGTGGAGGGCAGGGAAGGTTGCAGAGAGATGGTGCCTACCTCACTGGCTTACTAGTGACAATAGAAGCACTACAACCGTAAACTTTAGGGTTTGGGGTTTAGCTGAAACCTTCGCTCCAAATGAGTTCACTCTGAGAACAGCCATGACCATTTCTTACATACGGATATAGTCCCCCTTAAGTAGGTAGAATACGGGGCATATGGGGATCTTATTATAATCTACCCGAAGCCATATTCTATCTACTTAAGGGGGACTATATCCCTAAACCCTAAACCCTAAACCCTACATTCTATCTACTCAAGTTCGACTATAGAGGTTTAGGCTCAGTGCAGAACCTTGAACCCTGAACCCCAACCTGTCTACTTGGGTACTAACACTGCGCGTCACATGAGTGGCGGTCCTCAGCTTTAGGGTTTAGGGATTAGGGTTTAGGGTTTAGGGATTAGGGTTTAGAGATTCGGGTTTAGGGATTAGGGTTTAGGGATTAGGGTTTAGGGTTTAGGGTTTTGCAAGGATATCATGCGGGTCCCCACCAAGGACGGTAGATGGGTGATTTGTAAGAGTCACCAATATCAGCAGCCCTGTCGCTAAAAGGAAGCCACATAATCTTGCGTAGACGTAGGGCATTTTTCCTCCCTCGTGGTTTTGTCAGACATATAGCACATGTGGGGTTGAAGGGATCCGTAATCCTGAGTTTCAGGTTTACTCTACACCCCAAAACCATAACTCTAAATCCTAACCCCTGCACATCCTAAGCGCCAAATCTTGAACCTCTATTCTAAATCCTAAACCATGAACCCCCAACCCTAAATCCTAAACTCTAAATCCGAA